AACAGCATAACATGCATTAATGCGATCTAATAAACTAAAGAAACCATTACAAGTTAAAAAATGCAAAAATAAGTACATTATAAGCTGGTACCAAACAGAAAAATTTTAACATGGTTAAGTAACACCAAAAAAGGAATAAAATTTTTTGGGAAAAAAACGAATAAAATGACATAAACAATAACAAATAAGCAATAGAGAAACTTAAAAAACAAAGATGAAAAGCGTTAACAATAACCATAAGACCATCAAAAAGCAATAAATTATTTACATCATCTAAATAATAAATAAATTGCGCGAATAAACATTTAGTAAAATTTAACTTCCTCGAAAGGACTAGTAAAAGGGAAAAAAAAAAAAACAAAAAACTGAAGTGGAAATGATTTGATCTGAAGAACAATATATTTGATTTTAATCAAGTTATATGTTCAATTTTATAATAGCAAAAAAATTTTTTGATTTTAACTATGCCAAGCTTTTTAATATTGACTAAATCACTACAAATGGTGAATGAAACATATAGGTAAAGCAAAACCGCAACTTTTTCTATACATTGAATCCAGTTGTCCCCACATTAAAATTACTTCTGAGAAAACTTTTTTTATTTTTTTGATCTTTTTTTGGTTCTTTCATTTTTATGTTTTCTTTTGGAACTTTTTTTAGTTTTCCTTTTCATTTTAATTTTTTTATTTTTATTCTTTCTTTTTAATCTTTTTTTGGTTTTTTTTTTTTTGCTTCATTATTTTTTTTTTACTTTTTCTTTTCAATTTTTTTGGATCTAGTAACCCTCTTGGATGCCCTTCATTAATGGAGGATGGAGAATTGGAGCAGGTAGCAACAGATTGGCCGCGTGAGGAATGCCCGATATTATCATTGACCTGAAAGAAAAATTTACTGGCTAGAAAAACTACGAGATCCATTTTATAATCTTTTCTACAATTATTCGAACCCTTCTCTACCATTTAATTTGACATTCTGAATATTATTAATTTTTAACCTGGAATGAAAAGGTGGTGAACATCCTCTTCTCCCTCTACAAGATTGAATCGGCAGCGCTTTACCTGTCTTTTGCTGATTTTGTTGACTTTTGTTAAAATTGATATTTCAAATTACTTATAATGATATTGTATGAAAACCTTTGCCGGAAAGCGGAAGGTCATACCGACTGAATATATTTTACAACGCAAAATGCTGAATAATTTAACGAAAATTCAAATTCGTTATCTTCTCGATATTTTGAAATTGATATTTCTATCAGATTCGCTATCAAAATTAGTTAAAGATGACATCAACTGAAAATTTTAAAACATTGGAAGATTAAATTAATTTATGCTGAGCAGGATGCTAAGTAAATTGATTTTTGCAATGGAAATATATGTGAATTCATCGAATTTAGGTTAAAAAAATTTGGAACATATCACTTTATTATTTTATAATTTGAAAATGATATTTCAATTATTTTATAACAATATTGTGAAATCATATAAACTGGAAATATTATGCTGGGCTGAATGCTAAATAGGTTCAAAATATTTTGATAATTTAATGAAAAAGCACTTTAAACTTCGTGTTTTTAGCAATTCATTATCAAAATTAATTGAAAATGTTATCAAACGAAAATTTTAAGGAGTGACTGCCTAATAGTAATAAGCAATTTCATTTTTGTGTCTGAAATATGCTTAGTTTCACCGACTAACAACTTAATTTAGGTTTAAAAATGTTGTATTTACCATTTCATCAACATTTGATCATTTAAAATTGATATCTCAAGTAACTTATAATAATATTGTGAAAAAGTGTTTGTAGGAAATTGGGAAATCATACTGATTATCAACCGAAATGCTAAATAAATTCAATGATCTTTTATAATTCAGTGTAAAATCAGTCTTGTATCACTCAAGCACCTTTTTAACAAATATACCGTCGACATTGATTGAAAATGATTGTAACCGAAAATTTTAAAGCTCGAGAGACTACAATTTATAAATAAATTCACTTTTGTATTAGAAATATGTGGAATTTCATCGATTTATCGCTTCATTTAGGTTGAGAATATTTGAAACATATCATTTAAGTATAATTTTATCCTTTGAAATTGATGTTTCAAATAATTTGCAATATTATTCTGGAAAAAATTTTGCTGGGAGAAGAAAGATTGCATCGACTGAAAACATTGTGCGAAACAAAGCGCTGAATAAGTTTAAATATTTTTATAATTATAATTTTTAATGTTTTTGCAATTGAAATATTGTTTCAAAGCAAAATTTTTAAAGTTTTTTTTTTTTTTTGTTTAAGTTGCCAGATGATCGCGACAGAATGTGAGCAGATGTGCAATGCAAATAATATTTTTTTAATGAACTGTTATTTTTAATTTTTGTTAGCACTTAATTGAAACTTACTTCTTTGTCAAAATTACAAAAACTCCCAAAAATTTTCAGATTTTAATGACTAACCACATTTAAATTTGTGATTGAAATTAATTTCAATTTTAAAAATCTATTGAAATCACTAATTGCAATTGTAACAAACGACATTAATTTCGCAATTTAGATATTGTTCCAAGGTGAAATTTTTTTTTTTACTTTTATCGTTAAAAGACGATGGCAGAATGTTGTCATAGATTTATTTTGGGAGAGGTTGCTGATCTCGGGGAGATTCGTTGGATGTAGATGTAAATATGGAGTAAAATAAAATTCCGTTATTAGCAAAAGTAATAGCACAATAACTTGATAAAGAACTATTGAAGGTGAACTTTGCGACTTGGTAAAAACACACAAAACCCCCTTCAACAAGGGTGACCTCTCACACTGCCAGAAAACGGAAGTTCATAATGACCGAATGCATTTTGCCAAGCAAAATGCTGAAAAAGTTCAAAATATTTTTATAAATTAACGAAGAATTCAATCTTGACACCTTCCCAGTATTTTGAAATTCTTTTTTGTCAAAATTAAATTTCAACTAAAAACTTTAAAACAATGGAATATTGAGAATAAGCAAGCTCATCTTTGTATTCACATTAATGCCATTGTTGAATACAGTTTTGAACTATAGGTCCCACTTCTTCTTTTTTTTTTAATTTAAATGGAAGGATTGATTTTCCATATTCAGAGTATTTATCACTTCTACTGACTAAAATTCTTCCAGTCAAGCATAACACTGAGATAATATTTCATTGAAACATTAATGATAGGTAGGTAATTGCCATACAAACTTCATCTTCATTTGTTTAGTTTTGACATTGCTCCTGATTTTCCTTTCCCCAACTAGCTTAAATCCAGATTTTTGTCTTGCTTTCAGGAAAACATCCAAGTCTGTAACATCTACATAGAAATCTATGTGTGCATCTTCTGTTCTAACCTGATCGCAAATCATGCTCTGTGCAATGACACTTCCTTTCAGTTAATACAACATTAACTGAAAGTATTACTGGCTGCGGCCATTATCAAAATATCATCGTCTGCAAGGTAAAAGTCTGCAGTTATTTGTTCTACTTCACAATTAGAAAGGATGTAAACTGTACTCTGATTTTCTTAATCGGAATCCTACTATAAAGATTATCAAACAACTTTTAAAGTTATTTTTAACATGTCAATCGAGAGATATGAAGAGAAACAATTAAAGGGAAAAACCCAAGTTGACATGACACCTCCCCATCCTTGAACATGCAGTTCACCTGATAATCTTGCTTTTATATTAGCAACTGTTACACTTTTTTTTTCTTTTGGGTCACTCCACTCCCTTTTATTTTATTTGTTTCCGAAACATAAAGCACACGGTATGAAATGATTATATTCATTCCTCTGATCGAAACGATATAAAATTAGTGGTCCAGCAAAAGAAGGAAAAAAAAACTAAGTGCAGTTGTAGTAAATATCAGAATCATCGTCATCAGCATTATATTCTCATTAAATTATACAGTACAACACTTATGATAGTAACGTATGAGAATTTAAATGCATTAACACAACAAAAAAACTTCAAAGTTAAAGAATTCGAAAATCGAACTGCACACCGAAGAAAGATAGCTTTTACTATTATTGTGTAATAATATTATAAAATAGCATATCGTGAAGTGAATAAAGTAATGCACAATGGGTAGTCAAAATTATTCAAGAAAAAAAAAAGATGATAGATAAATTAATGCTATGAATTCTTTATGTTTTATTTGAAATCCCAATTCATCGACTCGATCAAAATCCAAGATTGTTTTTTTTTTAAACTATTGCTTCCTTCTGCTCTCTCTCCATAGTTTAATTTTTTCTCCCTAAGCAGTAATTCTCGGAAAAAAATCCTTCAATTCTTCAAAGTGGTTCGAGTTGACTCAAAACGATATTCGTTTGCGAAAATACCACTTTTCAATACAGTCAAAGTTGAAAAAAAGGAACTTAAACAAATGCCTTTAGGTATACATAACCTAACCTAAAGACTCGCGAAGAGATCTTAAAATTAAAAATAAATACAACCAAACCTATTGTAAGCCCGCAAATTCTACATTACAGAGTAATAGAAGATCTAGAGAAGAAAAAAGATTAACGCTGACGGGAAAATTTTCGCGTGATAAATTCGATACAAGAAGCTAACCAATGCATCAACATGCGCTAAATAGATATACAATTAGGATCAAATTTAATCGCTCAAAAGGTACCACCTAGCATTATCGTTCATTGGTAAATTATTCATGTCTCTCAAAAGCACCGAAAATCTAAGGCCTTATTTCAGAACTATGTAATAATTATCTAAAGCTTTAATTGTGTGATTCATATCGACATTCTCAGAATTAAACATATAGAATCCTAATTCAAGACCTGGGAAGAAAATCTCATATTCCAATAATAACAATAATAATAATGATAACCGAAGTATTAATAGGGACTGTATCAGCGTAATCAAGATTCCTAAAAAGTCTGCATATAAGCTGCATGAGAAGGCCTAAAAGAGTAAATACCTGAAGGGAAGAGACGGGAAAGAGAACATCAACAACAAAGCTAGCAGGTAAACAAAAATCACCTTTGCACCAAGTGCATAATTTGACGAATTGTTTGCTCAAATTGAGGTATAATGTGTTGTTCGGCCTGCATAACTTCATTAGATGATGAAGCGCACTGCCGTAACTGACGGATAAATAGATCCATACGATTCAGTAGCTCACTGCAATTTAAAAGTTAAGATAAACAAATTCAAATAAACTCATATGTTCATATTAATTTAATTTAAAACTCCAAATGATGAAAGAAAAAGTTTGATTACAGTAATTTATAGTAAAATCCGTTGAATTTAAAAATTTCAAGAAAATGGAGAAAGAGACATGTAAGAAATGATTTACCGTTTTGGAAACAACAGTGCAATGTGCCGCTAGAATTAGGAAGGTAGAATATTAAATACTTTCTGTCTGTCACTAAATTTTTTCTTTGTTAAAGAAAACTATTTTTCGACTGGCAGAATGAAATAAACTTTCAAACTCCAAAAGACCTCTAAGCCTCCGTTCTAATTATCTTTTTGCTAGAACTTTTTCACTTCGAATAAATTAATTATTGAGTTTAGCTAATGTGCTTTTAAAAACTGGGGAAAACAAATTACATAAGTAGTTAAATTCAATTAGGTACCATCTGCATATTCAACAAGACATCCCAATAGAGTATATACATATTTCAAAGTCAAGGCTTATTTTTTTACTGCACGACGACAAAAGGGTGTTTAACATTAAATTTTTGCATAAATCTTCAAATAAATTTAAACAAAATTCTCTTCCTTCTTTAGAATCTAACAAGAACTAACCGATAACGAAACTTTGAATGTGGTGAAATATTTTCGGCATAAATAGCGCATAAGTGATGAAACTGTTGCATCAAATCACTCAATCGGATCAACAGTGCATGTTGTCCATCGGAATAATCGGCATGCTGTCCTTTGACTCGACTAACGCGCTCGTTACGCAAATCACAAATACAGCTTTCCAGGCGTCGATACAAATCCAACAGCGAATCTCGACTTACCTTAAGCTATTCAGTTAATAAATAGCTTACCATATATAAAGAAGTACACAAAACACGAAGAGGATCTAAATAACAAACTGAAAATAAAACAATATATCTTTATTATAGTGTTTGCTCTAATGAAATCAAACACCTACACAATTCCTATGATGAATTACTATTAAAGGAAGACGTTGACCAATCTTGTTCTTGTACCAAAACACAAATACTTACGGTTGGCTGACTACTTTCTCGAGCACTGGAAATCGAGCTATCAGAAGTGGATACTGCACCACGTGTATCGGTAACATTTTCCATCATTGAGTAACGTTTCTCTCCACTACGAAGTGGCCCTAAATTCCAAACACTTACATATTTGGTAAATGATAAGCATAATTTAATAATGGCAGCATTACTTCTCAATGAAGTTCCACGAGAGCTGTTGCATCACTAAAAGTTCATACCATAACTGTATAGATGCATGAATAGGATAAGTATGAAAGTCTTCTAATGATCTCATCTTAATATCTTCAATTCAAATCTTGTTAAAAAAAGAAAAAATTTCTCGCTAAAGCAAAACTCGAAGAAAAATTACCTTTGGAAGGTGTCGCAATCAAACCTGGATTACCCAATTTCTCGAATTTCGAAGCGAGATCACGGAGTGATTGGGTTCGTGTCATGCTTCCGCTAAGCTCGAGTTCGTCTGTTTCATTACAGTCAGGCATTGTAGGATGAGCTGCTACCTTACGTTTTAATTTAGTCAATGCATCGCCATCATCTATACCATTATTAGAAGTGACTCGTTTTGGTAGTATTACAGAACTGGCCTAAAATGTCAAATAGGTTATATCAGTACCAAGAGAAATTCATACTTTTTTGATACTTCCATCATTACTTATGATAAAAGCATCAAAAAAGAACTGCATTAAATGTTATATATGATGTCTTTTCAACAATCGTCCGATGTTATGTAATGGATATTTCATTATGAGTAATATGTAAGATAGCAAAACTGGAAATCAAACATTAATCTTAATTAAATTCTAGCAAAGTCTCACTTTAATTGATCTTTGTAGTGTCGAATAAGCTCTGGGATGTAGTTTAGCAACCGCTTTTTGCGTCGAAGGTTCTTTTTCTAGTCGTCCCGATTGTACTACAGCTGCTGGAAAAGCAAACAAATTAATTTTCATCAATTCTTCATTTTTTTTTTTTTTTCTGAAAATCTGAATAGGATAATCCGACCGAAAAATGACAATATGTGCAAAAAAATGTGTTAACAATTTCATAATTAGGGAATAATACGAATAAGTACTAAGGATGGTCCAATACCTTCCTTAGCATTAACATGCAGTGATAGATAAGAAAAAATTCTACTCAGCAGCATCTAATCCTTCCCAGGAAAATGGAGTAAAATATGATGTCTAGAAAATACGAATAACTTGGCGCAGAACTACCTTCGCTGGAATCATCATCGGATGATTCACTACTTAGAGCATCCGGCTGCATAGAAAACGGACGATGATGCTGCAATGGGGCAACTTTTTGCGTTATCAGCGTCCGTACCCGTGCTGTTTCAATATTAATCGATTCAAGTCTTCCGCCAATTCGACTAGATAATAAGGCAATAACATAGTGTAACATATGGTATCTCAAAATTAAATTAAAAAAAAAAAAACTTTTGGACATGAAATTGGGATAACATAGGATGATTTTTACTGAAGTTATGAAAGTCATAATCCACATAATTAACAATAATGTATAGAAAATAGTAGAGAAAATACGAGCAGCTTTCTCAGTGCAACAAATCTGCTTATTTATGCAGGAAAATAAGGAATTCAGACTACAGTTAAAAATTTGAAGTTTTGGGAAGGTGTTGCCAACATTAATCTCAATGGGGAAATGTATTGGTCACAAAATACAATCAGTTCAGAAGGATCTTAGTTTAAGAATTGACCTTTAACTATCAAAATCAATAATACTTCCCTACATAGCGCCCACAAAACAGAATCATACTTTTGTTTTTCGGCTGGGCTTTGCTTCTCCACATGCCGTAGTTGACGTATTCGTGCTCGCAGCTCATTTTCTCCGGCATCCTGAGTTCGACTACCTTTTGAAGTAGTTCTCTTTGTAGCTACAGTTTCAGCATCATTCGCAACAATCTCACGTGGCAAGTCTTTGGATTTCAATGATCGTGCAGCCGCTGTCTTTTTTCTCTGTGACCACTGTTCCTCCGGTTGTTTCGGCACGCCACCCACCTGAACGAATGAATTTCTTCAATTCGATTTGATTCGAATCGATAGGTTCTAATCATTTCTTATGCACGATTTAAAAAAAAAAAAGCAGAAACCTTAACTATGAAAAAGGTTCTATCAAACTGGATTAGAACTTTGAAGACATATAAAAATCAATGACAGTTTAACTAACAGAATCTACCAAAAATAGAAATACATGATGTCAAACTATGTGGACAGACTGCCATTCGACATTTAGCCGCACGTTCGGTTATTACTGACAGAACTGGCGCTCTCAAAGTTACACTAACTCTTCATTTGCACTTTTTCCCATTATTTATGCTATTATTTCTATTATCCATTATTAGTTATTATTTCCTATTATTTCTCCTTACATGTTTTTCCCTTTTAGGGTAATCCACGCAAGCCAAAGTTGCTCCGAAATCATCACATCGTGTATAATATATTAAATATGATACTAAAAACGACTTCCGAAATTCCACAAAATTTCAATCTCCTAGCATCTTAACCATACCTTTTTCAACTTCGAATCAGTTTTCGCAATCACTGCTACCGATGATTTTACTCTTTCAGCTATACTTGTCATGTTATTAACACCGGAAATACGAGAAGTGACAGTTACCGGAGATTCCGATTTTGTTTTTTTCAAACGTTGTTTTAATTGTTGTAGCAACTCATTTTGGCCAAAATTAACACTTTCACTCATTGCGTCAGATGCATTCCTGGAATCGCTAAAAAGAGATGGATGAATTGATAAAAACAGATAGATGAAGGAACAACAACAGCATTTTTAAAGCATACTCAGAAGGAGGTAAAAACTAATGCTATTTCATGACTGAACGTTTCATGATTAAAAAAAAGTATGCGTCACATCTTTAGTTTATTTTAACTATCTAAATTCCAGCACTACCTTGAGACATTAAATGGAAAATAAAATATGGCTAGGTTTCAAATTAAACACAATAACTGAAGGTATTATTGACAATTTTTGCAAAAAAAGGTAATGATTCTTCACAAAAAAATTGAAATACGTGAAATTGCTGAAACTTCAGCTTTTCCCTTAACTTACCTATTCCAGCAATTATTGTAGGAATCTGGAATAGCATCCAGCGAATCATCTGACAGACCACCACTGCATTCACCACTGGCATTCGGCGACTGGTCACCATCTTCTTGCAATGACATCGATTCCAGGTATGCATCAATTCGAGCATTTTTCGGCATGGTACCAAATTTGCTAACCGCCTTGCGCAAATTTTTCTCCGCTAGCGGCGAAACCAACACGTCACAAGTTGGTAGATTATCTGTAATTCTTCCAAAATTAAAATTGAAAACTGAAATAGGATCCTTTGAAGAAAATCATGTCGCAAATTCAAGTTTCAAGTGCATGAATATGAATTTCAATCTTTGATTTATGTCCATTCTTACAGAAAACAACTGAATAATATCTGTGCCCTTCTACATTATTATTAAAAGAAATAATAACTACCATTTCAATTTAGACGCCTTTAGGCACTTGAATTTCAATTTCTTCAAACACGTACGATTTCCATTAACTAAAGTTGTAAGTTCTCAAATCTGCTCTTGTCAAAGCTAACATTAACCTAGTTTTTGCAACTTTGGCTTTGCAGATGATGGTGGAATCGGTAACGGTAGATTACGCTGGGCAGTTTTTATTTTAGCCGCATCCCAAATGTCACGTGCACTACTGCATTGGGTGGCTGTAGAAGAATTTGATGACGCGCCACCGACGCAACTATCCTGGTTCCATGGTGGTGGTGGTGGGAATTCGATAGTAGGTGGTGGTGGTAGCGACGTGCCAGCTAACGAAGAGCTAGTTGATGGAACTACAACAGCCGTGCCAGTATTATTTCCAGCACAACCGCTGCCCTGAATACCGGAGATACGCGGAGATGCAACTGGTACAACGCTTGACGGAATATTGATGCAATCATTGCCTATCGCAATGCGATGAGATGACAAACTGTGACGCCGTGATGATGTACGTGAACGTTCTAACTGCTTGTCAACCTAAAAAAATTTCCATAATAACTGTAATGTTATAAAAGTCAAAAGATTAAATTTTGGAAACTCTCAGAAAAAAATTACGAAACTTTACTCTTTTCCTTTAGTTTAACTAACCTCTTCATCAATATTGGATTGAGGAAAAAGTGATTCCAAGCTGGCATGGATTTCTTTGAAACGTGGCCGATCACTAGGTGACCAATTCCAGCATTGCAACATCAACCGGTAAACTGATGGAGGACAACCTTCCGGAGCATCCATTCGAAAACCTTTTTCAAGTAATCCGTAAACACTATTCAATTCAACACCTGGATATGGACTCATCCCATAAGTAGCGATTTCCCATAATAGTACACCAAATGCCCAGACATCACTTTTAGTACTGAAACAATAAGAGATTGTGTAATCGCGAAAGAAATAATGCAATAAAAGTTTAGCGTTGAAAGGAAACCAAAGTTCATTGTAACAGACTTAAGAAGTGAATGATATCATCGTTATTTTTAGGTAAGTAATAACAATATTATAATCAAAAGATAACCTGGTGATGTCCATATTTTTTAATTTATTCGTAGCTTTCATACTTGATATGTGGTTTAAATAAATCCGAAGTATAATGAATAAAGCAAAGCATTTCACCTGAAAGTGTTATAGGCAAGACCTTCTGGTGCAGTCCATTTGATCGGAAACTTTGCTCCAGCATGAGCAGTATAAGTATCTTCCCTCATAAATCGTGCAAGACCAAAATCAGCAACTTTGACAACATTCTCTTCGGCTACCAAACAATTTCGTGCAGCCAAATCCCTGAAAGATTTTAATCATAAGAAAAATTAAATCACATCAACAGTTCTGTAACAGATGAACTAAACATAATTTAGAAAACTTTCTGATTTTTTAGTTTTTGGTTATTGTTGAGATTTGAACTCCTAATATCAGACCATAACTAATTTCAAAATTTCTACTGAATTTTACCGATGGATGAAATTACGTGATTCAAGATAAGCCATTCCAGATGCAATCTGTGTAGCCATGTACATCAGCACTGTTGGTGATAATTTCTTATCACATTTCCTAAAGAACTAATACTTGGTAAACCAAGGCATAAATTATGCTCTAATTCTCGAACTTCACATACGATTTAAACTGCTTGAAGTAATCAATTCATATAAAAAGTGGTCAGAAAAAAAACATCCTCATAAACATGTACATAAGTTAATGAAAAGCGTAAACATAAATGGTAATAGTTCAATTATTCAAGAAAATATGTCAAGAATAACAAAAAATGGAATTAATTCTGATAATAATGAAATATGTGACCATAGATACAGCTGAGCTAAGAATATAATAAAAAATGTGTGCAGGAAGCCTTGTAAAATTAAAATATCGAGGTTTGAAATGAAATTAGACCATAGATGTATAATGTTAAAACGAGGATTCACTATGAAATTTAAGTAATAAACCTGAGATAGTCGAGCAAATTTCCTCTATTCATATATTCGGTGATAATATAAAATGGCGGTTCACGAGTACATACTCCCATTAACTGTACCAAATTCGGATGATGTAAGTCCTTCATAATTGCTGCTTCTGCCAAAAAGTCGTGTAGCGCCATAGCCTCTTCCTGAAAATACTTCCATTTCCGAAACTGAACTGATATTGAACTGACATTGAAATAAAGCGAAATGTGTTGAAAGGTAACCCAATCAATAAATATTTCTATGAAACTTCAGACTAGTGACAAAGACACACTGACAAATTTACTTGCTCAATGAAGACCACACTTTTAAACCCGAACAGCCTGGAATAAGAGATCACTAGGTATTTTCATACTTATAATCATGAAACAATTAATTCTCGTGGTTACGCAATAAAAAATACTTACTTTCAAAGTTTTCACAGCAACCACTTTTTCGTGCTTTTTCCAGTAGCCCTCATAAACATCGCCATATTGTCCACCGCCTGATAAAGATTTATAATACTAGAAAGAGAAAAACTTAAAATGATATTAAAAATGTAGGACGAAAAAATAAATGAATTATACGAAAAAGAAAAGTAATCCCTAATTTTGCTTTAATGTAAAATGTAAGCATATGTTTATTTAAAGAAAAGGAAAAGATTAAGAGAAAAAAACTTGCCAAGTTTACTTCTCATGATAATTTCTGACCTCTCCACTTCCCATTCATCAGGCTGAGTTGGCGATAATGAAAATACCATCGGTGGTCGTTCCTTTTTGGATGCTGGGTAGAGTAACGTACAGATAAGGCCGTCCGCATGAAGACTATGATGATGAACCAATTCGCCCAGTGTTTTGAATTTGCTTTCTTGTGTTATGTATAACTGTAAGTGTACCCATTAAAAAAATATTAATAAACATGCAGAAAAAAGTTGAATGGATGACTGCAAAAATGAAAATATTATGCATACACAGAAACTGAAACATCTGTAAACAATTCCTGTTAATGTAGCCTAACCAGGATATGTCACCATATTTTCTTGGTATTAAAAAGAAGGGAAGTATAGCCAAAATAATGTTGGGTAGGTGCTAAGAACTAGACAAATGTGATCCCCTAAAACGATATCCTAAACATTAGATCAATTAGTAAACATCAGAGACCAAGCTGTAAATTTCTGTACGTTTGCAAAAATTGTGGCGAATATGGATATATATATATATATAGATGAATTAAACAATATATATATAGGGAGAGAGAGAGAAAGAGGGTAGATAATAGAAGATAAAGTAGACCAATAAAATATGGACAAGCAAAAATTTAACTACGATATTAGGAGAAAGTAAATAACTGCAAAAAAGTATCGAAAAACTAAAGAGAAAAGAAATTTAGTTCCAAAAAACTGTGAAAAGTAATTACTAATTTGCCAAATTTGGAAAATAAATAGAAAATAGATTTTAATAAATTGTTGAAATGCTTCGAAAATAGAAAAAGGAGAGAAATATGCGGATAAAAACTTACCCATTTGTTGCGATCCACTGAAATCCGATAATGATAAACGCGGCCATCATGCCGTACTGAAATTGAAAATTGTCCAATGCTGGTTTCCGATTCACGCACCAAAAAGCTACCGCTAATGCCGGAACTTAATAGGTACTCGCTTTCGCTTCGGCTTACTTTTCCATGATACCTGAAGTTCATCACACAGTGATTAACAGCTTGATGACAAAGGACTGCGCCATATCTCATCGATAATTCATTATCTTCTATCGCTCATTACTTCACATAAATGAAATTTAAGGAGAAAACGAAGACGTAATTGTAAACAAAACAAATGAAAAAAACTTAGCGAAAAAGGTCATTAATATGAACATATTTCTTTCTGCATTAAATTCATAAACATAAGCCAAAATCTACCTAATAATGAACAGAAAATGAATTTTAATAATTATCTAGAACTGTCGCCTTTGACCCACAAATACTTGTCAAAATTACTGTATTAAATTGGTAAACTCATATATACTCTGTCTTAATATAGTTGTGTTTGATTTTTGATTATGATAAACAGTACATTACTTGCAATAAGCACTTAACTATTTGTCATTTACTAACCACTTTGTCGATGCTTACTTAACATCTTTGGTATATTTTACTTCGCCATACAAATATATGATAAATACCACGAATGTTTTTCCAGTGAATTAGAAGGTGCAATATAGGATGATGGTACCCAACCAATGCAACCAGTACGTCTCGAATTCTCACGTCGGGTATTCACTAACTGTGCCTCACACCATTCGCCAGCTTTATTATGTCCAATCACCCGCACATGATCACCTGAAAAATTGACCAAATTAAATTATATATTGTTCAATGTTTAAATGATCATGTATATATTATACTCCAGCAAGCTAAATCAGTTCGACAACTGAAAAAGAAAAACACGATAAGAATGCTTTTAAATATTATAAGCTAGCCAGAAGCAACGATGTGTAATCGAATAAATTTCATGGCGCTCCATTTTCACTTCCGATCAGATTCTATTACACATTTAAAGAGGGCCAAGTTTTTCCTAGTTCTCCACAGGATTTGTTCAAAAAATGCAACGAATTTATTAATCTGTGCATAACACATTAAGAAGGCTATTTTGCTACATTAAAAATATGCACTGAATTTACACAAAATGTCAGCTTTTATTAACTTCAGATCCTATGAAACACACTACCTTCCATATGAAAAATATATTAAATATGCAAGAGTTATGCAAAATTGTAACATAGCAATTTCAAGCAGTCAGATTGCTTTTATTCTTTATGTAGCTTATAAATTTGGTTGAGGAAGGAGGGGGATTTATTTATATGTACTGCCGATAAACCTTGTTTTTTTGCTAAATAATTTCAAAATTAATTTTATATAAGATACGATAGAAAACAATCTAATGAAGTCATTTTCTTTTCCTTTGTTCCAGGTAAGCCATAATTTAAACTAGTATGCACCAAAAGGATTGAATTTTGCTTAGCAAAACTTAATCAAATCAATTCTGCCAAAGCCAAAAAGCTTTTACTTAATCAATTAGTGTCGAATCCTTTGCAAAATTCATTTATAAGCAATATTCATCACCAATCTGCGACCACAACAAACTGTATTCATGAGAATCCTCCTTTATAAATTAAAACAAATGACCTGCATCACTCCGGCATGCAATTTTTTCTTTGCTTTTTGGATTAATTCACTGCAATAGTTATGAATCCTAAGAAGCCAAATTATCTTTACCTGCCCACAGTAATTTCAATCGATATTCAATTATCTCAAAAACCAATCATACTGACCTCTCTTCAGCGAAAGCTGCTCTTCGCCAACACCGTGGAAATCGTACAACGCAACGAATAAGGAATCATTTTCGTTGCTTGCCGCTGATCCGTTCAACAAATCTTCTCTGGAAAAGATCAATGAGATATATTTTACCTACTTTCGTCAGGAAAACTTATTCGCTTGTTTTTTAAGTGAAAAAAGTGGTGAATGTTTCTCTGCAGTAATGTTTGACTATGATGATATCTTCAAATAACAAAACTAATCTAGTGGGCAGACTGCTTGAGAGAAGAAAAGGATAAGAGATCAAAGGGTACAATGTATCGCTGAGATAATCTCATTAGAATTAACGATATGCAAAGAAAGGAGCCCATAGCATTAACTAATTAAAGAAATTATTTTTTTCATTCAATGTATTCAGTGACTTATATTTCCGTTCATTCCGTTGAAATGGATTTGACCAGCTAACCAGTTAATAGACGCTTTCTTCTCAGTTAGCCGATTTCTGGAATATTACCCCTCAAAGGTACCTCCGAATTAGTGATAATTCTAATTAAAAAAAAAAAACCTGCACACAAACATACGGCATAATATGAGAGTTATTCCTATCAGGAAGCGTCGTGATAGTCAAGCCAAAAAAGGGTCAATAGGAACACATTTTGAGCTTTCTGGGACAACGACAAGATATAAAGAGAAATAGGGGAAGGAGGAAAGAAAGAAAGAGAGAGAATGTCAGAAACTGCTTAAAAGATTGTCAAAAGAAGTTTAGGCTTCGATTTTTTTTTTTTTTTTTTTTGATTTACTTCAGTCTATTACTTTATTCCCTTTTAAAGAGGGAGTGATTGAAGTATGAATCCTTATCCTTTGAATCCATTTACCCAAATTTTTCTTGTCATCTTCTCTTTCTTATCCAGACATAAAACTGTCAACCGTTGGCTATTCTTTTGATTCCAATTTGGCATCAATAATTCGAGAAAAGGATGAAAATGGGACAAAAACAAGGTTCTAAACAGAGCTTCAACGACCCCAAAACCAAGCTTCTTGAAAAATAAAGTTTTAAAATCAAGAATTTATAAAGCAAGGAAACCATCTGCGTGCTTTAATATTTGAGAGTCTGAAATCATTCCAACTCTAGTAAAATGTAAATTAGTTTACCTGGATGACCATCTTGACGAATCCTGCTGATGAAGACGATGATGATGATGATGGTGCTGGTGGTGGTGATGGTGTGTCAAGAACGTATCAACAGAAGACGGTCGATGATCCATTTCCGCCGGATTGCTGAAGCTTTCACAGCATGGACTTCCACTGCGCCAATCATAAGACAAACTGTCGAAGCATGCTAAAGGAAAAATAGGTTAGTTTATTTGTACTACAAGATGCAAATATTATGGACATTTTTCGGTACCGAAAATCTATCGTAGTACGTAAATATAGCACAACAAGGATTAAAATTTTTCTAATTTATTGTGAAAAGATTCATTTTAATATATTGTTGAACAGTGGTAGAAAGATAACACATTGTTCCTCACAATCAATACAAATTTAAGAATTCTGAGTTTATATATGGGACATTCTGATAAAATGTAAAACACACCAACCAGCCATATAACTACTTCCAACTCCCATCAATAATCAACAATTTTTGCTAAGCCTAGAAAAGACTTCTAAGAAAGAAAAACAGAAATGTCACTGCTGTTGTTTGAGCAAAACATGCAAAACTATGTCTTTTTCCAATTAATTTCAGAAAAAATGTAATTGCTGAAACGAAATAATCGGTCAGATAATTCCCGCATAGTAAATCCCGAGTCTCGGAATATATCCTCGTTTTACCCGTAAGTCTTCTCCATTTCATCTACGCATCTATCCCACGGGAAAAAGATGGAAGGTGTATTCAGTTTTTGAATACTATCTGTTGATAGTGGGCAACGTTCATTCTATTATTTATCCGTAATTTTATTTCAATTTCACTCCATATTTCAAAATCAAAGTTAAAGCAAACAGTTCTGACACAAACAAATAATTGGATTGAAAAGTAAGCCAGGATAAAAACAAAGTTTTACCATAAACAAACAAATTGGAATGGTGAAAAGCTATTAACAATTTAAGCATTTAAACAAATGACAAGATGTCAAATGCTCTAAGACATTTTTCAATCTCAATTAATGAAATTAAGAAAAATTAAGAAATACACTACTTTAAGCTTCCAGTCCAGTAAATGTAATACTATAAATGTAATACCTATTTACAAAATATTATACATGCAATATTATGTTAAAACCACCTGAGACAATGAAGATACAAATGAACTAATATATCATAATTATCATCATCATTATTTTCTCCTTCACATAATTTTATCTTCCAGTCCTAATTTGCCCTCAATTTTATTTCCAAAGTAAGTATAGCAAAATGAAAATTGTAAAAATTGAAACTGAATTTCAAAATAAAAAACACATAATGATTTGTTCTGAGATAAGTGTAAATCATTAGGAAGACACAAATTACAAAATATTTTGAAATCAGGATGTCATTTAAATTTTAAAGTAAAGCAAAAATTTGATGTGACCAATTGGCCAACTAGTCAATCAAACCAGGCTACGAATCACTAAGTGCACTTATCCGATGTAATTTGGAACGATAATAATAATTCAAAAAACCAAATAAATGTTGATGAAAACAAGTTTGAGGTGTACAAGAATGCAGGAATCACTGCTCAAAGCGATATAAAAACTGAGTTACATCATGAAAAGAATCAAAATTATCTTAACAGATAATTTAAATATCCTATGAAATTTTTATTGACCGTATTAACATCGTTTATTGTCTCACAAATAAACTCTACTGTAATATACACTATTCCCCACCAATGTATTATCATCATTTACTGCACTCAGTTATGACTTTAACAAAATCAAAGAACACTTGAATTTTAGAAAAAAATAATGGAGAAGTAATATATTTCTAAATGAGATAAATAAACCAAACTATTAATTAGTAAATAGCTCTAATAAGTTGTTATCATAGTTTACTTCGTTAAGCAAAGTAAACAACACGAAAGTGTGGATAGTAGTAAATTTTCTCCCTAAAATCAATGAAAAAAACAATTTAGGAGGAAAGGAAGGATTTCTCGTTGTCGTAGGTTCATCGTTGTCACAGCAGAAAGAAGTGTGACCGATTAAGATTTCCATTTTCCCTAATTTCACCTATCTCATATGTCAATTTCACCTTTAGAACGCAATCTTTTCTTATCGCTCGACCCTATACCAACCTAATCATAACTTAAATTGAAGTTGTACAAACAATAAAGATCAACGACGATGCTAAACGAGTGTATCTTGACAATTCTCCAGATAAGCATAAGAAATAAAGTTGCAAAAGCGAAATATTTGGTTGTTAGGAATGCAAAGTCAACAAATTCATGTTTCGAAGACTTAATATCGATTTATTATAGTTTTTAGTTTAGCATACGGATGGATGAAGGACACACTGCTTCATCACACTACGTAATTAGACTGCATCAATGCTATGCATACCACTTCGTCACCGCAATCAGACCACGAAGGATAATTAAATTTTAAAAAGACTGGCAACCGAAAAGACGACATAGTGTTGTGCTTTACTCTACATTTGTAATTGCAACTCGTTAAATAAATGAAAGAAAAAGTTTGATTTGAAAAAGATTTCAAAAATTCTTGCCTTTACTTTGCTATTTTTTCGTTAGCCAGTCCTTTGTATTTCTTTTTCTTTTTGTAAAGGTTTTTTTCTTTCCAACAAATCATCCTTTATATATTAGAGGTTGAGAGTTGATATGAATAGAAAATTATCTGGTATATCTAAATGTGCATTCTTGAGAAAATCAAAAAGACTGAGATTGAAATGAGAAAGTGAAAGTGAAGATGGCAAAGAACAGAAATGACAAAAAGTTCGAATGATACATGCCGAACTTTCGCCTCTTTTGAGTAATGATGTATGGCTGTTTCGCCTGATATTCCACGAAAAAGCCAAATGCTAATATTAACTTGCAGTTTATCGATGATTGTAATTAATTTGCACAATGACGACAATACATGAAATGCGAAAGATTTTCCACAAACAATGATTTGAAAAGATTTCTAAGTTGCACGAATTAAGATTAGTGTTGAATTAAGTAAATAATTTTAAAATACAATTCATAATAATAGATGTTCTGAGAAAAAGAACTGCTAAGAAATTTTGAAGCAGAAAGTACGGTTGATTCTTTAAAGCTGAACCTTTGCTAAGTTATTAAAGTGCTAATAACATAAACTAGCTTGAAAATGAAATACGCATAGCAAAACAAGAAATAGATTTAATAATATCATAGATTTAATACACTCCCACATTTCATGCCTGAAAATGCGCTAATGTATTTCATCCGATCGTTCTACCTCAATTCACTTCTCTCTTACTTTGCAATTATCTTGGAATTGGTATAATCGGCATATATTGAAATTGAAGCACACAATACCAGTTGTCTAACTATTGCTTTTATCAACCGTACCCATCATTATAATTTTTCAAATTTCTTAATAAGTACGGTGAAATTATTTTTTTGCAAATTTAACATAAATTAGAGCAATGAAAAGGAAAAAATAATTCTCCTTTTTTTTTTCTAATTTATTATTTAAACACATCGAAAAATTCCGTTCCATTACACATATACAATAATACCTCTTGCATAACCACACAGCAAATCTACTGAAAACCATTTGAAGAAAATGTGTAGGCATGAAAATAAATTCAAAACAAATAGATTTAGCAAAAAGAAAAAAAGAATGTCAATACGATGTGAAGATGTGGAGAAGGAAGGGAAATTTGACGTCTGAACTTGATGAGTGGCTTTTATCTATTGTCACAGTCAGACCAGGGTACTCCATTCCCCATATTTATTTACAATTTATCAGAAGAAATGAGTTGGACAAAAAAACTAGTAATAAAGTTCTCAACTATTATTCCTACTTGTATCTCTCGAAATTAAATGAATGAATATATGAAGATATCGTATTGACTAGAATGAAATATAAACTGAAGCTTTTATAAATTTCGACTGCTTATCACATTCATTTTTTATCTAATTTGAACTGCAATTATCCATTTCTAGTCGGAAATTTTAACAGATAACAATACAACAACCAGTCATACCATTCCAATATTTCTGGATCTGTTGATTATGTAAATTGTTTGATAAATTCTATATTGAATGATTAAATTGAAGGCTTTTCAGCCCTTTTGTTTGCCTTTTCAAGTTCCAAAGTAGTATGTTTTTCCTACTTCATTTATGCAATTGATGTTAATAAGTTAATTCAAACTTGATGGCTTTATTATTTGCTTGATTTATTACAATCACTCGAGTTACTAATATGAAAAAAGATTCAACGGTTGAAAGAATTTTAGCTATTCTAAAAAAAATTGGAAAATTAATTTTAAAAAATGTGCATAAATTCCAACAATGATCCTTTATGATAATTCTCGCACGATTCAGATGATCTTTCAAGCAATTTTAGAAAGAAGAGAAATGAAAATATCATAAAACTAATGAGTTTAGAGTTATTAGATTGTTGTAATGCATTATTTCCCACAATTAATTTCATTTTTTGGACAGCTTAATAGACAATCGTAAATGTAAAGAATATCAATTCAATCTATCTTGTTATTACACTAAAGTGAATTTTGCACTTGCTATGCTAAATAAAGTTTAAACTCCAGTTTATTAGCTAAAAATCACTGTGATGAAAGAAAGCCGCCAGGTCCAAACTTCCCGATGTTTTCAATGTTGGAAAGGTTCGTACTAACCTGTTTCAGTGTTGGAATTCTACAACAATGTCTATTTGACTTAACGATTTTGAAGCATTAAAATCTCGATCAGTTGTCGCTCCGCAGTTGGCTGGTCTTATTGGATCATACTTTTCAAATGTTCCGATGCTGAAGCCTTTCAACTGACCCAAAAGCATCTTAGAGTTGGACATGTCAGTAGTGGAATAATCCAATCTCGAGTTAAACAGATAAGGAAGAAATTGCAGAAAAGGATAGACTGCATCTGAGTGAGATGTAAAATTTAAAAATTAATGTTCCATAACATAGATTATATGAATAATAAAACACCATTAATACTACTCTGACTGCAGCAGACTTATTTGTCTCTTACAATATCGATTCAGTTCTAAATATGACTGACAGACAATATATGTCTGTCTACTCGTTTCTCTATCAATGTATAATTGTCCATCTGTCCGGCTATAACCCTATTATAAATAAATACAAATTCTTCACAACTGTCCTTGAATTGCTCTCCGATACTATTTGCTGTTTACTATTACTATTTCTACTGCCACTCTCCTTACTTTCAATTCTCGCCATAATATCCAATTTGATGCCTATTTTCCGGATAATTTACTATTCTGTCTCAAAGATAGCAGATGTAAACCTGACGGAATTTTACATTTCAGTGCTCAGGCATTAACACAAATTGCAGATAAATAACCGACCTTGTACCTAAATAATTATCTACTCTGCTCAAAAATTCTCTCTCTCTCTTTCCCTCATACCTTTTTTACGCAGTAGATCATGAAGTCATATCTGACAGAGAATAGGATTAAAAAATCAATATATTCAATCGGTTAATGATTATTATCCTTAAGTTGTATAAAAACTGCTTGCTGATGGACAATATGATAGCAAAAAGGAAAGGAAAAAAATTAAATTAATTGAAAAGCATTGGATTACCTTATCAATACTTATATGATCGCTAGACTGTTAAAATTAGCAGCATTCTTTGTGCTGTCCAACAACTACTGTTTCCACTATTCCTATCGTCCTTGAAAGTATTTTTACCAGTATTTTCTTTGTTACAACAACTTCTGTACCACATTTCTTTCATGTATGATGCTTCAATCTATGGAATGATTTTCAATTCCCACTTTTTTTTTTGTTTTATGAATGACCAAATGTTACTCAGTCCGATCAATGAAGTAGCCTAAAAGCCTTTTGAATGCAAGAAAAAGAGCATATCAAAGGTAAATTCCTAATTCTTTTCCGGAAAGAGTGTGACTGCCTCCATGAATTATCCGTAAAAATGAGAAATGAATTCATTAAAATAGCCCAACCACTGTGTCATAAATTACATATGCTTTAGTGAGGAGGCAAAAATTGTCATCTTTGAGAGTAAACGAAAGAAAAATCAGTTTGTATTTTCATTTCTTACTCGTAAATTATACCCCCATGAAGTAAAGTGTATTAAGGTCAAATTTCATCCCGCCCTTTCTCCTGCCATTCATTACAAACTTTTTAGCAATCAAATGCCTTCAATAAATTGTTAAAAACAATTCAAGATCTTGTACACAGTATTTAAATAAAAGTACTCACAGTTCTTGTATTTGATTACCATACACACTTGAAATACCTATTAGATTTAATTTACGGAAATATCTTTTAACTAGCATGAATTATGAGGTAAAATAAGAACAGGCGCAAGAGGAGATATAATACAACGTGAACTATCTTACATCACGCAAACACGTGAAATACTTACATATACACATGTAAGCAAAGCATTTCCAACAAATCATTCATGCAAAATCTAAAATGATAGCAGAAAATAGAAGAAGCAAATCTGAAATCATTGTGAATTTTTACAATGCATATGGCGAATGATCAAAACTATCTAATAGGAATTTTATAAACACTTTAAGGATAGAACTTGATTTTTACTACTTTTAGAAATTTGTTAAGCACATCAATTCGGTAAACTGAATGAGATTGTTGAGGAAAGCTTGAAAAATAAAAACTGAGATTTTTCAGTTGTGAAATTGTAAATGAAAAAAAGTGTGATGGCGAGAAGAGAGAGGACAGAAGTGAAAATTATGGTAAGAAATGCTGTTAAATAAATAAACAAATAATTCCTTATGGAGGAAAGTTGGTCAAATTTCCGTAAAAACAATTGTGATGAAAACAAGAGGATGTAGTGGATATGGCATAAAAAACCAAAAATAAAAGTTAACTGTCATAAAACCGGTTTCTAATGATTTCAAAGCTTACAAATTCACACACTGGTTAATGAAAATGCTAAATCATACTAATTATGGAAACTCTTGGAATTCTCGAATATGCTCTTCTCCACCTTTCCTTGACCAATCAATCATAAAATGATATGAACGATTGAAGCATTATGAAT